TATACGATGGTGACACAAGGAGTGGTTATTGTTGAGGAGTGGAAATTCGGGGCTAATTTCAATTTAAGGGGAGAGTGTCTGCCCCATATTTCCTTAAATGTCCAATTGAGTATCCGTTGGATTTATTTAAACTCTTAAACACTTCAATTGGTAACAATACACTCTGAAGAGATTAATTAATATTAAAAGAAAAAGACCATTTTTAATAAGTGCAAGAGGGAATGTTTTGGTAACATTAATAATTAATTAATTTGTACTAAAAGACAAAATATTAATTGAGATATTTTGTATTACTACTTAATATTATATATATATATATATATATATATATATATATATATATATATATATATATATATATATATATATATATATATATATATATATATATATATAGATTCTGGTGGTAAAGAAAAGAAAAATAAGGGTGAGAAGAAATAAGAAGAGAGGGTTATCATAGAAAAAGAAAAGGGAAAATGTGGCGAAGAGGGAAAGAAGAAGATAAGAGAAATAGAAGAAAAAGGAAGGAAGGAAGAAAATAGGAAAGCTCAATGAAACTCATCACCACCATCATCTTATCTCATTATCTTCATCAATCTCCTCTTCTATTTCAAGGTGAGTTCTTAGTTATAACTTAGGGAATTTAGAGAATCCTAGGGTTTCAATGATCAAACATGGATTTTGTGGATTGTGTTTGGAATAACCATGTTGTCCAAGTGAATTTGATGATATGAATCATGTTGATGATCGATTGTTGTGTTGCTGAAAGTTGTGTTAATACCATGTTATTCTTGATGTTACGATTGGTGTTGTTGTGATGGATTGGAGTTTTATGTTATTATGATTATATGTTGTTGTTGTTGAGAGTATTATGTTCTTGTAATTGAATGTTACTATTGCTATGTGAGTACATGTTCATGAAATTGTGAATTTCACTTTGAATATTAAAAGAGTAAATCCATGATATTGATAAGTATAAACATGTTAAAATTATGTAATTGTGTAATCGATTTTACTGATATGCAAATCGATTGCACATTGATATTTTTTCAAAAATTGTGTTTTTTTTTCCTTTGTACTGTTTGAGTCATAACTTGAGAACCTTAACTCGGAATGAGGCACAATCGAAAGTGTTGGAAAGCTACTTTAATGCTCTATATGATAGTGAAGTAAAAACATGAGTTTATGATATTGATTGATAGAATAAAGATGGAATTGAAGTGAGTGTGGATTACGTGATTCTTATTTCCCACCATAATTCAAGAATTGGGAGTCTGATTGATATGAGACTTCAAGCCTTAGAAAGAGAACCCAATGGGCTATTATATGATGATTTGAGATCATGAATAAATCAAGGATGTTTGGTAAAAAAAAAGTAGTAGTGGATTGTATATCTTTATACGTATGTGAACTATTATGCTGATTATGTTTCACATGTTATGCTATTATGTGTGTTCCATGAATGATATTGCTATATACCATTGTGTTATGACATGATGTATGATATATGAATATGATTGTGTGATAAAATGGTTAAAATACTATAAGAATGGTGAGAAAACCCTTGATATTAATAAATGGAATGGACTAGTAAAGTGATTAGGACATGATGAATAACATAGATGACAATGCTTGTACAATGATGCATAGGTTTGTATCATTGGCAAGTAGTTGCCTAGTTGTGAGGAGGGTTTTGTATGGAATATGTATGGTTGTGTTGTTTATGGTTAAGGCGAATATGATGCCTTGTGATTGTCGAATACAATCACACTATCCTTAGTGATCACATAACGAATGGAACCTACGGGTAGAGAATTGTAATGGGGTACGGCCCATGAGAAGTGATGATTCGAAAGGTTGATGTTATCCCTTAAAATCTGAATCCATGCGATGTTACATTACACTTTATCACGTAGTCGTAAACAATCCCTTGAGTTGTGTCGTTCCATAAGTTGAGGCTCATATAGAGCGCTCCTATGGAATGTTACTCACTATTACTTTGATAGGTTTGATTCCTAAGTGTGAGTACGACTCAAGAAAGGCACACTGAATCTAAATCCATTTCGTATGTCAAAGTATAGTACAAGGATCTATGACCCACTCCAAAAGTCGTAGACATAGGAAAGGATGAGAAAAGGGGATGCCTTGATGAATTTTCCAGACTAGTGATTGTTTGAGTTGATGGACTCAAGAGACATGTTTCCATACATTATGAATTGTGTGAACTTAAGTCTTATTCCCTTTTTCTTTTGACTTGAGATAGAAATTGGTTAGAACTTTGTAGAGCCGAGTGAACCCATAAGATAGGGAAACTCGCTGAGATTATTATCTCACCCCATTATTGTTGTTGTTTTTTATGTATTGTTTGCAAGTATGATTTTACAAGTGAAGTTATGCTTGGATGTTCCAAGAGAAGCTTAGATTGTACTTTTTCCGCTGTGCATTCGTGTATTGTGTATCTCGTACAATGAAGGATATTTTACTTTGATCTTAGTTTTATTATTTTGGCACTTTACATATCTTGTACCATAGGTTGTTTTATGTGTTTTAAATGGTAAAGTATGTAAATGATGCCAATATGCACTTATGATTGGTGTCAGTACCAGATAAAAACTCTTGTATAGTGTTATTCTAGATGTATATTATATAGGGTGTTACATGGTATCTGTTACACTTGGATTTTTCAGCTACTAGAAAGTCAATGAAGAATGTCAATGAAAGGAGATATGGTTTGGAGGACTCTTAGGAATAAATCCCCAAGGCCTGGATTGCTGGGAAACTTGTCCAGAATCTTGAAAAACACAGTCAACGAAGGCCTTTATTCCATCAAGAGGACCAATAGAGTAACTATGTGAGCTAAAAGACTTAGTAGATTTACAAGTCTTGAGTCCTTGATAGGCATTGTCAACAGCACATTGCAGTAGTTACCATTGAGGGTTTGTAAAGAAGTGGGATGTAGTTACAACTCAACGTGGATTTTAAACAAAGAGGGTCTTGGATGACATGTAAGCACACTAGTAGAAACTTGAAGATTGAACATGAAGTAAATGTAGAAGTCCCTTTGTCGTCATAACCGTTGTCGACAGTTACTTTATAAATAGAATAAATTGCAGGCTCATACATGGGATCAGGGGTCACAAATTTCACACATACTCTCCATACCACTAGAATACCTGAGTCAAAGAGCGAAACAGTTGAGCGAAAAACATGCATGCGTCTGCGTCAAGTCTTTTTTAGTAGTCTTTTAGCTTCCTTAAACGGAACATGTACTTTTACCTTTGTTTTGTTTAATATTATTTATTGCATTTTACCTTATCATTTATCACAACCTGACTTCATTTAAAGTCTTTTTCTACACCATTATCATTCACGCGACGAATGCATTCAATTTACACGCACGTGTGTTCACACAAGTTACTTGCACAAATTTCTTTTGAGATTTTTCTAGTTAATCACAAATAATGATGTTTACGATTATGAAACTGTTGTATATGAGTTATGTTTACAGAAAAAATTAGTAAGCGAATCCTTTTCTAGTTAGATATGTGTATCATACCCCTCGATTATGGGTTTAACTTAAAAAATAGATTATATAACAATTAAATTCAAATAAATAAAAAGAAAGAAATCACTTCTAAAAAATAAAAACATAAAGTGCAGTTAATGGGAAACGAAGCATGTATCCAGAATTAGTTTACCCTTCAGTTATTTGATAAACCGAGAGAATATATGGTATTTTTTGGGATAAAAAGCATGACACATTTAGGACTTATACCTCGGTCTTTTTCGTTGGTCGAGGTGAAAGATTTGTCATGAAATATATTATTTGCAACATATTCTGAATGAAACTCAGATGATTTGTATGACCTGCGATACTGCAAAACAAGTTTGGGAAGTTCTGAAAAAGAAGTATGATACCGAAGAGCCCAAAGTAAGGAAGTACGTTGTTAGTCACTACTTAAAATATCAGATGATATATGAAAGGTCTGTGTAGGTTCAATGTCACGAATTTCAAAAGATTGTTCATGAGATCATCACTAAAGGTATGTCTTTAGATGAATACTTTCAAATTGTTTTAGTGTAGTTTTGAAGCTATTTGACAAATGATTAGAGAATTATATTGTAATGTTGTGAACCAAATTTAGAACGAGAATCCTTTTAAGATTTTCAATTACTCAAATTGATAGGCAACAACCTTGTGTTGCCCTTAATGCACAAATTAACGAGACTAATAAATAATTTATTGCTTTAATAACTAAAACCAACATAATTGATGAATCTGATGGTTGATAGATAGACATTGATTTCTCTCGTCAAATCTGTTATGATTTCTTTGATTGATGATTCTCTATTTTAAAAACAAAAATTTATTTTAATTTTTTTATAAATTTTTTACTTTCATCATCTCATTTGAGTGTCACTTTTATAACATAACAATTAAATTTATGATACTTCGTGACTAAAGTAACAAAAATAAATTACTCATCATTTATATTTAATTTTTATTTTAATAATGTGTCAAATATTAACTTTCAAAAAAAATAACAATTATAAAATAAGTTAAATTACAATGAATTTTTGATTATTTAATATAATTATTAAAAATATCTTAAAAGTACAATATTTTTTAAAGTAGAAAACAAATAATAAAAATCAACTAGTATAATCAAGTAATAAAAAAGTGAAAAGGAAAAACCAAAATTTTCGTTGTTCGAGAAAGGTCTTGATAATTCCAATCTAGGTGGCATGTCACTTTGATTACCAGTTTTCAGAACACTCTCAAACTTTCTTTCGTTTTCTTCAAACTATGGCACTTGCTTGATCGTTCCCGAAACATCACGAACATCACCTTTCATGACCAAAACATCCTCCACACACGATTATATATTTACTGGCACACCATCCTCAATTCCTCATCACCCAAAAATCAAAATCAACAAACACATTCAACAAGCAAAAACATTTTCGCTCTAGTTACTATTTTCTGATTAATAATCATAATGTCGATAATTCCAAGTGTGTTCGGTACAGGACGAAGAACCAGCGCGTTCGATCCATTTTCTCTAGACTTATGGGACCCATTCCAGAACTTCCAAATAGCAAGATCCACCACCGGAACCACCAACGAGACGGTGTCTTTTGCCAATGCACACATTGACTGGAAGGAAACACCGGAGGCTCACGTGTTCAAGGCGGATCTTCCTGGAGTGAAGAAGGAAGAAGTAAAAGTTGAAATAGAAGAAGATCGTGTGCTCAAGATAAGCGGAGAGAGGAAAATTGAAAAGGAAGACAAGAACGATACATGGCATCGTGTTGAACGTAGTCAGGGAAGTTTCCTCCGCCGTTTCAGGTTGCCGGAAAATGCAAAGGTTGATGATGTGAAAGCTGCTCTGGAAAATGGTGTGCTTACTGTCACTGTTCCAAAGGAGGAAGTTAAGAAGCCCAACGCAAAACCCATTCAGATTACTGGCTAAATTTGTTCACTCGCGTGTGAATAAAATGTATAAGATAATGAAATAATTAGTGTGTAGTTGAGTTCCGCTTTTAAGAGATTCTGGTGTGTGGTTTGTTTGTGAGTGTTCTGTTCCGTTCTGTTTAGCGTGCATGTCAAAAGCCTTTATTCAATTTATGAAAGTTTCTTTCTTTTATTAAGGTATATATATCATTGAGTTGTTCATTTTGTTCTGTTTCAAAAAATTTAACATTGTTTCGTTCTTTTAACTTGTTATTCAGAGATTGATTACTGGATTCTTATCTCTTGGTGTATTCTTTTAACAATACATCATTAATACTTGTAATGTTCTTTTAACAAACGTTCAGATTTTTTTGCATTATGATGTAGATTTTAAATAGATTTTTCATCTATGTGTATTGAAGTTTTAGAATGTTATAAATTTTATAATATTATTATATCGTATTGAAGTTTTAGAATGTTATAAATTTTATAATATTATTTATTTTAATATAGTTAGAGTATTTTAAAATGTTTCTTAATATTAAATTTGATATTAAGAGAAATTTTAAAATATATAAAAGATTAATATAAAGAATATTAAAAAAAATTTGTAATGATTCTAATATTAAGTATTATTAAATTAAATTTGTAAAAAGAAAACTTATTAATAATTTAGTATATAATCAATGACGTATATTATAAATTCAAAACCTTCATACGAAATCCTAGACAATAGCACAAGATTACATATTCAAGATAATACTGAGATATTAAATATAATTTATTAAATATAATTTAACTTGAGTTGTGTAGGTTAAGCTTAAAAGTTAATTAGAATTAAAATTTGTTAATGTGTTATATTTATTACTTAATAGTTAAATTATTTAGGTATATAAATGGATATTTTATAATTTAATTTTATTATCATTTAATTTAATAATATAATCTTTATTATTTTATTTTCTCATTTTCTCTCCTCACTAAAAATGTCTCGCGCATTAATAAATTGATATTTTGAGTTTCAGTTAGTTTTTTGATTGTATTTTTAAGAATCACACGTAAAAGGTTATTATGTTTTCGGGATTATAGGTTATTGATCAATCGCTGCAAAAGTAAATGGTAAGGGAAATTTACTAAACTTCCTTCCAACTCTTGACGGTAAGAATTGACTTTAATGAAAAAAATAGATGAAATCTCTATTTGTCTTTCATGAAATCCTGGAAGTGGTTACTAATGTCGTTCCTACTTTTGATAAAGTTGCAACCGCACATAGAGAATTGTTCCGGTTGATGCGGCTAATTTCAACATAATTGTTCATGCTCAATCGGCGAAGAAAGCATGAGATATTTTTGTCAAGTACTATGAAGGAAGCGAGAAAGTCAACTTTGTCAAGTTACAGACTTTGCGACGACAATATGGATTATTAATGGGAGAAGACAAAAAGATTGCATGTTATGTGTCGAAGGTGCAAAAAATTGTCCATCTCACGAAGGGTTGTGGTGAAATCCCAATTGATAAGATGATAGTTGAGAAAGTAACGTGTACGTTGGCTTCTTACTTTGATCACGTTATCTTAACTATTCAACGATCGAACAATCTTAAAACTCTAAAACTGATAGATTTGGTTGGTTTATTTGAGGCGCTTGAGATTAGGATTATCGAAAGAAAAGGAGTTCAAGACTCGATACAAGCACTACAGGCTCATTCATGGAAGAAGAATGGTGATTCTAACAAGTTCAAAGATAAAATTGACAACTAAGAGCAAGAAGTCTAGGTTGAATCCTCACAAGAATAAGGTCAATAATAGAGCTTTTGAATTCGAAAAGAGGAGATGGAAAATTCTATCAGAAAGACATAGAAGAGAAAAAGATGTGTGTGTGTGTGTATGCGCGCACAATAATTGCAAAAAATGGGGTCACTTGGCCAAGCGTTGTTGGTACAGGAAAGACAAAAGATCGACAAAAGGCAAGAACAAAGGAGCGAACTTGCACATCAAGATTCAGATGATTCTTATGATATGGTGGTTATGGCAGTAGTTACTGATGACCATGTCGAGTTTAAGATCTGGTTCCTCGACTTAGGTTGCTCGAATCACATAACTGGTCGAAAATTATGATTAGTAGATTTTGACGAGTTGAAGAAGAGAAAATTCAAACTTGCTAATAATAGCTCATTGCAAGCAGAAGGTACTGACAACATAGTTATTCAAAGGAGTAATTGAGTGAAAGCCTTGGACAAAGATGTACTCTATGTCTCTGAAATGAAGTGCAATCTGCTAAATGTTGGACAAATGGTCAAAAAGGGGTTCTTATTGGTTATGAAAGATGAATCCTTATAAATTTTTGATATTCAGAATAACTTGGTCTTGAAATCTCCTTTATCGAAGAATAGAACATTTAAAAGACCATGATTAGCTCGACTGAGGTATAATGCCTGAAAATAATTGACGACCATAAGAATAGTTGGTTGTGGCATCTGAGATTTGGTCATCTGAACTTTAGGTCGCTCAATAAACTGATCACTTAAGATATAGTAACTGGTATACCAAGTCTTGAGATGCCCAACAAGCTCTGTGAAGGTTGTCTAGTCGAAAAGCAGTCCAAGAAGTCTTTCGTTTCGACTATGCCAATGAGATCAACCTACATACTCAAAGTTGTACATTCAGATGTATGTGGTCCTTTTGAGGAGAATTCCATTGGTGGAAACATGTATTTTTTTTGTCAATGAGTTTAGTCGAAAGTTGTGGATTTATGGGATCAAGAGAAAGCACAAAGTATTCGCAATCTTTAAGAGATTCAAAATGCTTGTCGTAAATCAAAGTGAGAAAAAGATCAAAGTTATTAGAACAGATGGATATGGCGAATACACATCCAAGATTCTATGCAAAAAATGGCATTGATCATGTGGTATTTTCTCCTTATGCTCCTCAACATAATGGAATAGCAAAAGAAAGAAACATGACCATATTGGACATGGTGAGATGAATGCTGAAGTAGAAGAATTTGCCAAAATCTTATGGGGTGAAGCTGTTTCGACTGTTGTTTATATTCTGAACAGGTGTCCTAACAAAAAGCTTAAGAACAAGGTTCCTGAAGAAGTGTGGAGTGGAAAACAACCATCATTGAGTCACCTGAAAGTGTTTAGCTCTATTCGTTACAAGCATGTTCTTGATATAAGGAGAAGGAAGCTTGATGATAAGAGTGAACCTACGATTATGCTAGGATATCATAAGACTAGATCATATAGGTTGTTCAATCTAATTAATCAAAAGATTGTGATTAGTTGAGATATTCTGATTGATGAAAATTATTCCTGGGATTTGAATTATAGTAATGCAATTGACAAACCAATGATGAGCTATGATTTCGACAAAATAAGTAATGATGTCGAAGTCAAAGATATTGTAAATACTCTAGTCGAAGTTGTTGCTGATATATCCGACACAATTGAAGTTGAAGAGGATATGGCTAACACATGTTTGAGACCTCAAAGAACTATAGCTCGTTCAACAAAACTTCAAGACTATGAAGTTGTTGGTGATGATGAAGTCATAATAGATGGAGAACTAGTTCATTTTGTTTTACTTGCAGGTGTTGAATAGATCAACTATAACAAGGATTTAAAGAATATCAAGTGGAAGTCTGTTATGGTCGAAGAGTTACAAGCAATCAAAATAAATAACACATGGGAGTTGGTCAAAATGCCAGCATATACAAAAGCTATCAAAGTGAAGTGGTGCTCATGTTTAAGCACAATGCTAATGGGTAGATAGCAAGACATAAGGAAATATTGGTAACTCGGAGATTTCTTTAGAGAGCAGGAATTGACTTGCACTTGTCGCAAGATTGGAGAATGTCCAATTGGTTGTAGCCTTGGATGTAAGCAAGGTTGGTCAATATTTCACTTAGATTTTAAATCAAAAATTTTGAATGGACCTTTGGATAAAGAGGTGTATGTCACATAACCTCCTGGGTTTGTGATTCAAGAGGAAGCAGAGAAATTATACAAGTTGCACAAAGCACTATATGGCTTCAAGCAAGCACCTAGGCATGGAACAAGAAGATCAATTCATACTTTGTTGAATTGGGATTCGTCAAATGAAAACCTGAGTATGGTGTATATGTCCAAGTTATGGCACAAGATATCATAATCATCTACTTATATGTCCATGACTTTTTATTCATATGTTGATTGGTGTGGAGATAAGGAAGATCGAAAAAACACTATTGGATATTTCTTTCAAGTACTTGGTGTCCCAATCTCATGATGCTTAAGAAAGCAACCTATGGTGGCATTGTCATTGTGTTAGGCTGAATATATAGCAGAATCATATGTTGCATGTTGTCGCAATTGCAAAAAGTACCTGGAAGAAAAACAGAAGAGTCGCCATCAAACGTTATTTATCCTGATGCAGGAAAATGAAACGATCTAAGAAAACCAGAAAAGAAGCGAGAAGATAAGGTCATCGCAACCAAATCTTGGGTTCGGGATTCGGTTATGCGAGAGGAAGGTATTAGCACCCCTCACATTCATTGTACTCAACGGGGTCCATGCTTGTTGTCTAATTAAAGGGTGTGTAGCCTACTACTAAACGGAAGCAAGAAAAAAGAAAAAGAAAAAGAAAGAGACTCGATAGGACATTGTCGCCCTATGCCTACGTATTCTTTCGTGCAATGGGAAAGTTAGAGTCAAAGTAGTTCAGAAGACTACGGGTGAAAGGGGAAAGGTTTCTCACCAAGACATCACTATCTTGTGCCTATGTATCCTCATCTGGAATGAGAAATCAGAGCAGCCGTAGTACGGACCACCACAGGTTGTTTAATGTTTTTTATGAGCGACGTTAAGTTCCCATCCCAGCAGTTAGGGTTGATGCCTATTTGCGGTAGAATGGAAAAATAACGTGCTCTTTCTGAAAATGGTTTGACAAACGATCCCAAAGGATGAAAATAATTTGAATTTGTTTGTGAGTTTTAGAGAAGTGAATTGATTGGGTTTTAGATTCACATTGCACTAAAGTCT